GTTCTAAGAAGAGGTACGAGGAGGATGAGGAGGACTTTACGGTGATCACCAAAAGGAAAAGGAGAAAGCTAATTGTGTCCGACGAGGATGAAGACGAAGAGGAGCCACCTAAAAAGACGAACAAAGCTGAGACCCCGAACAAAGCAAACCATGTGATAAAACGGCCAACTTCTCATGAAGTCGAAGAAAATGACTGCTCCAACTTAAATAAGAGTAAGCGGAAGAGAAAAATGGTCATTCTCAGCGACGACGAGGACGTTGATATCAGTTCACTTCTGAGTTCTCGATCCTCAGTTCCAAGCGTTTTTGATGATCCAAAGACGACAATCAATGTAAAGTCGACTGGATTGCTCAAGACGACTCTCACGATCAAACGCAATGATGACACTGCCGATGCCAAAGCCGCCAATAGCATAATCTCTAAGCCCGCAGTCTCAGTACAGCCAGTACCGAAACCGATATTACCAGTATCAAGGCCTGCCGCTGAACCAGTTGTCTCAAACTCAACCTCTATAGCAATCTCAAAACCCAAGTCTAAAAAACCATCAAAGTTAAGCGCCACAGATTCTTCTAAAATATCGACAAAGGAGGCTCTGAGAAAGGCCTCAAAGAAAAGAATCGCAAAACTCGTTAAGAAACTTGACTCTAACAAATCATTACTGAGTGACCCCATTCACCGGAAAAAGTATCCATCTTCTCTTCTTGATCGTCTACTAAGTTCTGATAAGAAAGCTTTATCTCAACCTAGTACTTCAACTTCAGGACAAGCCACTTCAACTGGTAAGTTTTATCTGCAAACACTTTTTGACTGTAGTTCTAACTAAATGTTTGTTTTCCAAAAATAGCGATAAATAAGAGAATAGCTTCAAATGCAAAGATCACAGAAAAACCTCTAACCACGACAGCGATTTCGGCTGAAAACCAAAGAACTTACAGCAGGAAATGTGTTGCTAAGAAAACGCCGACCACCCCTACACCTACACCTACCCCTACCCCTACCCCTACACCCACACCAACGCCAAGTCCCCAACAAAGAGCAACCAAAAGCCATTCCAGTTCTCATCATGTGAGAAAACGCTTCAAAAAGCCAGATAACCTTTTGAAGCAGTGCCTTACAAAGTCAATTAAAGTTCAGGGCCAAAATGGGCCTGCAAAAGTGCTCAACATGCAGCACAAGGCGCACAGTTCCAGNCAACGCCAAGTCTCCAACAAAGAGCAACCAAAAGTCATTCCAGTTCTCATCATGTGAGAAAACGCTTCAAAAAGCCAGATAACCTTTTGAAGCAGTGCCTTACAAAGTCAATTAAAGTTCAGGGCCAAAATGGGCCTGCAAAAGTGCTCAACATGCAGCACAAGGCGCACAGTTCCAGGAGTGTAGCAGTAGGCAAACCTGTGCTCAGTTCAACAGTGACCAATCATCAGGTCACCGCACCGAACACTGCCAGCTCGAAAAGCAGAGTACCGAGTGGTAAAGGTGGCAAAACTCAGGCTGCTGCACCTGAAATAGCAGCAAGGCCAGCACCAGCACCGCCTGCCCCACCCTCATCGACAACTTTAAGCGCACAACCACCATCTTCTGTGCTTCAACGAACTTCAAAGATCATCGAACTGCTCAATCGCAAAACAGTGGTCAGTCCGGCGGGGCAGCAGAAGGTCAACAACAGCGGCAAGGTCTGCCCACCATTTTTGCAGCCTTCAACTTCTAGTCAACAACAACAAACACCAGCACCACCGCCACCACCACCGCCACCTCCACCACGGCAACAGTCTGCCCTAGAGAAGCTGCTCACTGCACCGCTGAATGGCTTCAAGGGGGCATCCTCAATTCCCATTGCAGGGCAGTACTTTTCGCTGTTCAATGGCACTGCAGAAAACAGCCATCTTCCTCATGCCCACCCCAATCATCACAATCATACTCCAAATTCAGCTTTGAATGCGCACAACTTCCTCAAGGCGGCTAATGAAAATGCGAAAGAAGTAGTCTGCAAGGCGGAGCAAAGTGAGGCCTCCTTTACTGAAGAAAGTCCTTTCGGGGCATATCATTTCAATGGAGTTGATGAGGGGAAGGACGACCTGAATGGGAGAAGAATCAAGACGGAGACTGATGAGAAGACTCAGGCTGAAGTGGAGGAGGAAGAGGGTGAGGCGCGTCTGAAGAAGAAGACCGCAAACTTCAACAGTGACGTCGTCTACGAGTTGGACGAGTATGATGATGAGGATCCAAGCGTGATTCCGATTCCGGTGAGCAGAACCCCCCGAATGGCGGAAAGAAACGGCTGGCACAGCAGCAACGTCCTCACCGTGCGAAAGCTGCCATCCTTCAGGCGAGCCACCCTGGTCACTAGCTGCTTCAACGAGGTGTACCTGCCCAGCAATCAGCAGCTCTCAGTGAGGATCGTGGACGCTGCCGCTCGTTTTGATCTGCATTTTGCCGAGCGAGGCGTCGTCCCCTTTGTCAATGTGTGCTTGAGGGTGGGTCTTTTGCTATTACTCTACCACAGTGTCTTGGGATGAGTGCAATGTCTTATTATTTGTAAATTGTTTATCCTCTGCAGGACTTCATGAAGAACATCCTGACGAAGTACGCTGCCACTCGTTCTGCCTTTTCGTTGACCGCCGATCGAGTTGCCCATCACGTTGGCCTGCCGGTGGCCNCTTTGTCAATGTGTGCTTGAGGGTGGGTCTTTTGCTATTACTCTACCACAATGTCTTGGGCTGAGTGCAATGTCTTATTATTTGTAAATTGTTTATCTTCTGCAGGACTTCATGAAGAACATCTTGACGAAGTACGCCGCCACTCGTTCTGCCTTTTCGTTGACCGCCGATCGAGTTGCCCATCACGTTGGCTTGCCGGTGGCAAATCCCTACGTCGGAAATCGGTACCGATTTTTGGGTCAGCACGATGCAGTAACGAGGAAAGTAAGAGGAGCTGGTAAGTGGACAGGCAGTGGAAAGCCCACAAGTTTATGCGTCTCATACTACTGAACTCCAGGAAATGGAGATTTGTGCACGATCTCTAGTAATAGTAGTGGCGGTTTTTTGGGTCATTTCATTGTAACCATTTCATGGCGAGCTTTTTCCTTGTAAGCATGGGGTGCCAGGCCCTCTAGAATCTCCGCTCATCGCGCGATGAAGTGGTTGTCTGCGATGAAAAGGTATGGCGATGAAATGGTTGGAATGAAATGTCCGGATAGCAGTAGTGGTACTGTTTACTGAGCGCACCAACACACCTCGTGCACTGCCAAGGCTACAAGTCGGCTATAATCGCTTGGGCTGCTCGTAACGTTGGCTGTACTTGTTGCTGTCCTGGTGTTGCCACCACTACTACTACCGGAGATCACGCTCCATTTCCTGCCCCTACTCGGAAGGCAACGTTTGTACTGCCAAAGTTACCGTTAACTGAATACGGCACAGAAAACACGCGTAGTAACTACTACCGAGTAGTATGAGGCGCATATTTTAACTTGTGGCGTATCGGACGCTCCCCATCTTTCACTATCATTCACTGTGTCTGTGTGCTTTGCAGAGTCGTCCAACTTTACCTTCTTTCGCCATTCCGAGTGCCAGCTGAGGCGACCCGAGCATCTGGACGAGGCGCTGCGCCCAAAGAGGTTCGGCACGGAGAAGGGCGAGCTGTCCTTTTCCCATCGCGACCAGGCGGCTTTCACCGGCTTCGGTAGTGATGGCTGCCCCCCTGACGGCGGCAGTAATGGCGGCTCGTCTTCATCCTCCTCATGTCCATCCACATCGCTCTCTCCCTCAATGGTCACCCGCTATCGCTCCGATTCGGGCTGCCTGCGAGTGTACGCCGCTGAGGAGCCGCCCCACACCGCTGAGGGCAGCCTGCGACACCTGCTCAACGTCCTCAAGACTGAACGGTCGCTGATTCCCAATCAGAACGTCTACCTGCGGGCCGTCTTTCGCACCATCTCCGCCATCAGCAACAGCGAGGAGGACGGAAGGGCGGCCCCGCAGGAGTAGTGACGTTGTGATGAATATCGCCGACTTTCTTAAACTTGTGATCTCCTCATTGTACACCTTTCACCTCCCCTCACCTTCCTTCCCCTCGCAACCTTCGTCCCCTTCATCTCCTATCATTTTTGCTTTTGTGCAGCTACCACCACCACCCAATGCAGCTCTTCTTTCTCTCTGACTGCTCTTTCCAGCATTCTGATTCGCATCAACCCTGCTGCAACTCTCAACTCGTTTGACTTGTAAATACGTCCTCCATGTTACAGTTCTCTACATTTGTTTCTCTGTACAAAGTGTACCGTAGTCTAGTGTACATAGTCCCCACTGTACATTTCATTCATCCATTCAATGATTCACTCTAAGGAAGATCTTTGTGTATATACTTTCTCTCCGTTTGATTGAGCTATCGTCGAATCACGTCCTGGTTATTAGACACAGTCAAGTAGTCTTCTTCCTGTGAACATTTAACTTGAATGGTCATTGAAGTCATAGCTTGATATCGACCTTTCTCAGAGTTTCATTGAGAAATTTTCTGATCTTGTTGCCCCTTTCGATGACGAGGTGAGTGGTGAAGGCAGCCTTCTTCAGGCCGAGTTACCATATGCGCAGAATGTGCTCCTGGCAGACGTCTCGAATGTTGCAGATCTTCTCTTGCACCTCCTGAATATCAATGTCCTTGGGAATGCTCTTCACTGTGCGTTGAGCCCGTCTCGAATGAAGGTGGCGATGAAGGTACAATGGCGAAAGACGATGTTGCTGCATATTAGATCCACGATAATGTGGTATTAGAAGGCAAAGAAAAAGATGACCAGGGCGGAGATCAGCACTCCCTCACTCTGGAAAAGGTCTCCCATACGTGGACCAAAGCATCCCTCACGATGATGTTTCCTGGTCCCTGGTGTTTAGAGCTGCTGCACACACACACTCGGGCGCCGTTGTCCTGGACGTCTTTTAAATGGGGCATGTTCTTCAGCTTTGTGATTGTCGCCCTCATACCGACCATTCTTGAGGTGGTGACTGCCATTGAGTGCTTGCTCTCCATATCTCCCATGGTCCCTTCACCTCTTAGGCTTTGGAACAGGCACACCGCCCAATGTCACTCACTTGATCAAACTGGCGAACACTCCGACCGCCGCCGTGATCAGCATAGTCTTGGCGTCCCTTTCGCTCTCGATGATTCGCACTGTGGAGATGTAGAACAGAGGAATGCTCGTGACCACCCAGAAGATGTTGACAGAAATGAGGAGGTCAACCCCCTCTGCCCGGAGCCAGCCAAAGCTAAACCGCCTATCGGCCAGCCTAGAGGTTCTTCACATGGGAAGAGGCAATCTTGAACGTGCCGAAGTCAGTGGAGCAGGTGGGCAGCCTCAGATCCGATGGAGAGGCTCTTTGTCAGCACGTCGCTGACCACTTTGACGAGCGTGAAGAGCAATGTGGTAGATGGAGACGGGGGTGAAGCAAAATGGAGCCTGCCTGTCCAATTTGGATCGCTGTTCATTGAAGGTGTAAGAGTGAACCAGATCGATCTTCGGCGAAACGAAGTTCACTTTTTGCAGTCCTTTCTTCGGGTCATCCTCAAAGCACAGTTCTGAGTTGCAGCCAAGGATGAAGTATGTGGAGATGCTACTGAGGGTGACTAGTGCTCACTGAAGTCTCACCAAACCCGACTCAATCCTCATTCGGAACCTGTAAACTTTTTGATCGGAACATCATCTCAAGCGCCNGAACCAGATCGATCTTCGGCGAAACGAAGTTCACTTTTTGCAGTCCTTTCTTCGGGTCATCCTCAAAGCACAGTTCTGAGTTGCAGCCAAGGATGAAGTATGTGGAGATGCTACTGAGGGTGACTAGTGCTCACTGAAGTCTCACCAAACCCGACTCAATCCTCATTCGGAACCTGTAAACTTTTTGATCGGAACATCATCTCAAGCGCCGATTCACTTATACTTGTCATCTCTTAATTTTGCACCTCCCTTCACCTTCATCTCCTCCACCTCTATCATTTGTTGCTGGTGTGCAACTACCACAACAGCCATTGCAACTCTTCAACATCTCTTCCGCATGAGTGTCCTACTGCAAGCCTCACTGTACGTTTCCTTTATCCATTCACTGATTCAGTCTTTAAAGAAGGCCTTTGTTAATACTTTCTCTATTCCCTTTTTGTTCTAGTTCCCCAGCTACGACCGTAATCACTAATGAATGAACGAACTTTAGTGTTCATTACTCCGCTGTTGCATCACCACTAGACCACAACTGCAGGGATATCAAGTGACACATGTCGTGAAGAGACTATCTAATCGACCTGTCGAAAGATGACGAGTAGGGTGCTCAGAGACTAAACAAAAAGTTCGAACCGTGCAAAATGGCAATGTCCTATGGATCGGTCATCATCATCATCGCCCTCATCCTCATCCTCACCATCACTTTGGATACTTTGGAACCCCACCGAATGAGCTACACTGCGCCGCAGGTCACCACGAGGTTGTCATCCACAGTCACTGGTCACAGTGGCAGACGGTGATAGGAGCAGATAAGTGATAAGAGCACTCACACGTACACAAAGCGACTCGAGACGATTCGATGGACTGGTAGACTCGCCGATAGGAAAATGTGGAAAGTAAAAGAAGCGAGAAGATAGTGGTAGAGCAATACAGATCAACCGTATCATGTGACGCCAACTTCCCACTTCCAACTGCCGCTGATCATCATCATCACTGTAGGACACTGGCTTGCAGTTTTAAAGTGGAGTGCTCTTTCTTTTTCCAAACTCCTGAAGACAAGTGCGCAATGAACTGCAAGTGCAAACACTCGAGTGCCGTCACACAGGGAAAGGATTAACCAACCGTGTGTGTTATGGATGCAGTGGAATTGCCTCACACTGGTGGAACACACTTGAGTTACAACAGTTATTGTTACTGTCCCACCATCAGCCGACAGCTGCAGTTGCTCGTTCGATAAAAGCTTCTTATTGGCCGGTGCTGTCGTCATCAATCGATATCGCCAATAAGAAGTAGTCAATGATTGTTGATGATGATGAAGATGGTGATGAGGATATCGCACAGAACCTGTAAGGCAGAGAAAAACTTGGACTTGGAAGAGAAGGAGATACTGGAAAGACCTCGACAGAACGGAGAGAGATAAGACATCGAGTCGCATGTGGCGCGACTCTTGGAGAGCAATCGACTCGGCGTGCCGCTCAGTCGGCCAGCGTCAACCAAACCGACCTGTCAACTGGTTCGCTTCTTCGCCCGTCTTCTTGATCTTCACTTTGTTTTGACGCCGTTTTCTCCTCCTCAGAACCTTGCCCACCTTTGAAGTAGTGCTGCCATGTCCAATTGTGACCTTTGTGTGTCGTTTCGCAGACTGCCACCCTCTGAAAGGGGACACCGGCGGTTCTGCGGCCGAGGCGTGCCCTGAATGCTTCTCAGTTTATGAACCAGTGCTTGGTGAACACAGAGCACAACACAGTGGTGGCGGTGGAGAGATTAGAGAAGATGGCAACTCTGTCAACTTTGTCTCTGCCAGTGTTGCTGCATGTTGGGTGCACACACTCTCGGTGGCCTGTGTGCAGCATCGTTCACAGTCATCGTCTCGCCTTGCCCACTCACCACTGCTCCCCACTGCTGGTAGAACAGTTCAAAGTCGTCCGGCAGTATCAGCCCAGTGCCTGCATCAGCAGTCGCCATCAATCTTTTCTTCTACTTCTTCATCTTTCTTCGACCAAGCAGACCAGTTTCCCTTCTTGCCATTCGTCACTTGGTCGTCACCAGTTGCACTGACTACTACTGGTTTCCACTTGTGCGACCTGGACAGTCACACTTGGCACGAAGACCTTCACATAGAGACAGATTCGAGCACTTGACAACTGTTGACCTATCAACATCACCACCAACGACCATCACCATGACTTCCACCGGAGAGAAGGAGCCGCTGATGTAAGTGAAGTAAAGGATGCATACACCTTCCTCTTTTTCATCGATTTCCTTTTTTCCAAACATACTTATCATTGTTATTTTCACTCTAACAGCAGCGGCAACCTGTCCACCACCACCGCCGGCGACCCAAAGTCGTACCAGGCACTATCGCAGCAGCTGGCTTCAGTGGGAACTAGCCACCCGAACAGCATCATCACCTACTGCATCCACGGCCGCGACACCGAACTGTGCTGCGAGATGACCTGCACAAAGGACGGCAAAACGAACTCCGTTTCGCAGAAGATTGACCTGCCCCACTGTCACACCTACGACGAGGAGCGCTCGAAGACGGACAAGCAGGCGAGATTCCGGCTCATCCTCGCCTCCATCCTCTGCCTCCTCTTCATGCTCGTCGAGGTGGTCGGCGGCGTGCTGGCGAACAGCCTTGCCATCGCCTCTGACGCCGCCCACCTCCTCACCGACTTTGCCAGTTTCATGATATCGCTCTTCTCCATTTGGATGGCCACTCGGCCGGCCAGCAGGCGGATGAGCTTTGGCTGGCACCGGGCGGAGGTGGTGGGCGCCCTCACCTCTGTCCTCCTCATCTGGGTGGTCACGGGCATCCTCTGCTACGTGGCCACAGAGCGAATCATCGAGAACAACTTTGAGGTGGACGCCAGCATCATGGTGATCACCGCAGCAGTCGGTGTGGCTGTCAATTTGATGTGAGTGTGTGTTGGTATTGTTGGTTTGCTGTGTGATGTAGTGTTTTTTTAACCGATTCACTTTATTCACATCCTCATTAGCATGGGAATGGCGCTGACGCTCGGTGGTGTGCCTCACGGCCACAGCCACAGCGGTGGAGGTGGTCATGGTGGCTATGGCGGACATTTGCACAGTGGCGACCACCACCACAAGAGTGATCAGAGTGAGGTTGACAGTCACGGAAATGAGGAACATGCCCACTCACACGACGTCGCAGAGAGCGGCACCCGATCGTACAGCAGCTCCAAGCACCAGGGAAAGGGCAACATCAACGTGCGGGCCGCCTTTGTGCACGTTCTGGGCGACTTCTTTCAGAGTCTGGGTGTGTTGATCGCCTCGCTGGTCATCTACTTCTTTCCCGAGTACCACATCATCGACCCGATCTGCACCTTCATCTTCTCTGTCATTGTCCTCTTCACCACCTTTACCATCATTCGCGATGTGCTCAACGTACTGATGGAGGGCATCCCCAAGGGCATCGACATGCAGGAGGTGCAAAAGACGCTCTTCAACATTCGCGGTGTCCGCAAGGTGCACAACCTTCGCATTTGGTCGCTCAGTCTGGACAAAGCCGCCCTCAGCACACATCTCGCCATTGAAAAAGGATACGAGCCGAGCAAGATTCTCAATGACGCTCTGCGGGAGGTCAAATCACGCTACGACATCTTTGAGTTGACCATTCAAATTGAGCAGTACCAGAATGAAATGCGGGACTGTGAAAGATGTAATTAACCACCTGCAGCGGGCTGGAGGACGCCTGCGGCACGTGGGACATGCGCCACCACATCCCAAGATGTTATTCGACGATGACTCAAAATCAAAACGGAGTGAAAGACAACAATGTTGAACATTGACGATAAAATATAACGACCACTGTATCTTCCTTTCTGAATCATTGAATTTGTAAATTGTTAAATTAGATGCTACTTTATTTTTGCAAAGTTGTGAGTTTAATTAAAATTGTTTGCACTGAATCGGCTTGTTGTCTTCCGAAGCGGGTGCAGTGAGTGAGCTCGAGGGGCACCACGGAAGCTTCGCGGTGCTGGGTGAAGAGGGTGAAAAGATGCGGCAGCAACCTCAGGTGGTGCTGCGAACAACGATGACTCGTACTAAAAATGCAGAGTACGGGGTTAGCAGGGTCAAAGTCAATGAAAAGTGACTAAAAAGTAATTTAATAGTCCACCAGTGACTTCAAAAAGTCTCTAAAATGGCTCAAATACAGCCTGTTTTATACCTGCAAAAATGGCAAGGAAAAGTTTTAAAACTGCAAGTCCACGTCCAACTTGGACTTGCAGCAGGCTAAAATTGATTAGAAAAATATGCTTTTGATAGCAACCTCTTTTTATGGAAAAAACGTTTTGGTTATGACCACTTTTTTCATTTTAAAAATAAAAATTTTAAAAATAACGTCTNAAAAGTGACTAAAAAGTAATTTAATAGTCCACCAGTGACTTCAAAAAGTCTCTAAAATGGCTCAAATACAGCCTGTTTTATACCTGCAAAAATGGCAAGGAAAAGTTTTAAAACTGCAAGTCCACGTCCAACTTGGACTTGCAGCAGGCTAAAATTGATTAGAAAAATATGCTTTTGATAGCAACCTCTTTTTATGGAAAAAACGTTTTGGTTATGACCACTTTTTTCATTTTAAAAATAAAAATTTTAAAAATAACGTCTTCTGCGAAGGGTTTTGTGCCATTTCATTTCGAACCATTTCATCGCACGACCTTTTCATTAGTGCCCGTATATTACCAGGGGCCGCTAGGCCTTCCCAGACCTCCAAATGAGCAGTGGTGAGTGGGCACAGCAAGACAATGACCGTGAATGCTGCTCAGAGGCCACCAAGAGTGTGTGCACTCCACTACTTTAATTAACTAAGCCGTGCGATGAAAAGGTCGTTCGATGAAATGGTGACGACGTTACCTCTGCAGTGCTGCAGTCATCTATTTGAACCCAGGCAAACTGTGGAACTATCTCGCTCACTTCCTCGCTTCCTCACTCACTACATTGGCACTGCCCTGGCACGCTGTTGCTTCAGTTACAGTTTACCCCGACTCTCACCGTCTCAGAAAGTGCTCCTCAAGTCGCCAATCGTCGATCAGTGTTGACAACGCTTTTCGTTGTATAATCCGAGTGCCTGATCGCAATACCAACTGTGTTGTCGTATGTAGAAATTAGTCAATTGTCACTAGTAGGGCTTCAATGTTATTTTGTGTTTGTTGTCCTTTTTAGGTTCAGCGTTGCAGTTGAATTCCAGCATTTTAATTTGTTTTTCAAACAAAAATGAACTCACCTAACAATTTAGATACACTTCCCGATGGTACCTTGGAGTGTATTCTCCTAAAATCACTGTCACCCAACGCTTCGCTGACCCAGCTTGTTCAGAAGGGTTTTGTTAGTAACAGATGGCTGGAAATCGTTTCACACTTGATTCGCAAAGGCTGGCTGGGCTTCGGCAATCTTCAAAGAGGAAACACGCTGAAACTTTTTGACAATGAGCTCCAGGTGTCAGTTTACCAAAAACAGGTAGTCAAAGATGCCAAGCTGTACCATAATGAGCCGCAAATGAAGATAAACAGAGCCCAGCCCAGGAACTGGCGTCATCAAGACCACATCTTTCTTTCCGATATTGCCGACACTTCTTTGGATGTGCTTCTTCAAGGACTAGCATACCTTTTTTACCACCCCCCGCCTCTACCTCATCACCAACCTCAACCTCAGCCTGCGAGCTATATCACCTCCCTTGTGGTGGGCACCCCCTGGGTGAAGTTTAACATCTTCGAGCTACTGGAAGCGTTTTCCAGCGTAGTTTCGCTGACGCTCTTTGAGTTTCCCGACAACCACGAGCTTCAAAACAAACTCTGGCAGTACCTGGCCACCCGAGAGCCGCACATTCAACGGCTGCACATCTTCCACCGAAACGGCCGTTTTCCCTTGGACGCCGCACAGGTGGCACCGACCTTTAGCCGTCTTCAGTCGCTCACGCTGCACCAGTACAAATACACAAACCAAGCCACGCTGGTGAGCACGCTGAGGGGAACAATCTGCCGTCAGATACGGATCTACGACAAACTGAACGGCCGGGGACAAAATTGCAAACAGCAATGGCAACGCCGATGGTGGGTCGAGGGAATAGTATTCGGCTTCAGGGGCAACGACGGAGATGGCGCTCCGCATGAGTGGACCACTGCAAAAAGCAAATGGCGCATGGAAGAGTTAAAGTTCATGCTGAACAATGCCGTTTTTAGAAAGCACTGGAGGACCAGGATCATCCATCTGGAGCCAGGAGAAAAGTTAGTGTTGGAGTTTATGCAGCACCAAGTGATGGGAAATGCACCGTGGAGACTGAGTATTGCCATGTGGATGAGATTGATGACCAAACATGAATGGGCAGTGCGCGTTTGGGACCATGGCGGCAGACCACCCTTTGAGGCGGTTCCGCCTGTCGAAGAAATTCCAGTGCCAGCTCCTGATCTGCTGTCTGATCTTCCTTTTCTTCATGCTAAACGTCGCGCACTGCCTTCATCCTCTCCCCCTTCACCAGTTCTGTCTGACACTGAGAATGCACTTCCTTCCTTCGTTCTGTCCAGCATTCATGTGATCTACGTGACGTTGTGGCTGAAGAAGATGGCCTGTTTGGTAGGCTTTGGCGCCGCCGACCCATCGGTTGCATCTGAACGAGACTTTTTAGGCCTGCTATATCCGCCTTCTTCTGCCTACTCTCGTCACTATGTTCTTCGGGGTCGTCGTCCGGAAATTCTCCCGCACACTGTAAATAACCCCCATCGGCAACTGCAACGTCTGGTGCACCTCTGGCGAGCCCTCATTAGGAAGCTCAATCAGAAAGTGAAGCTGTGGATGGAAGAGGAGAAACGGAAATCACTTCAAAATGGAGATTCGCAAAAAGTGGTTTCCATTACTAAGAGCAAGTTATTCGGACTATTTGCTGACTTGTACTACCAGCTTGTCATTGGGAATTGGAAGCCACCGCTGCCATTTTACTATCATCCCCCAACACAAACTGAGAACGCCCCCGATCCGCTGAAGCCGTGGATGGTTATTTGGACAATGATTCACGACTACTCATTTGAATTTGAAATTGGTGAGGAAGAAGGTGGTACTGAAAAACCTAACAATCAAGAAGAATGTAATGTCAGTAACTCTACTGCCTATTTACTTTCTGAAAATGGTAAATGTTCAAACATTGGAAAGTGGTTGATTGACACACTAACTCTACTTTAATTTATTTTTTCAGATATTGACGATTTTGCTGAAGCGCTAAGCCAGAACTTTCCTTTCAACAGCGACATATCACTCGTTTTTTACCAAAAAATGCCTTCTGATTTTAAAGTTAACTTTTTGTTTTAAATCTAGTTGTCTTTAACTGTTGTCTGGCTTTAAAACCAGAACTTTGATCAGCCATTCTAAAGCTCCACTTTATGACTTGTACATTAACTTAATTCATTTTTTGCACATTTCAAGTTTCTTTATATTATTTCAACCCATGCATTTAACTTTTCTATTTCAATTCTAGACTTAAGTAATATTTTATTGACAACAAAAACTACTTTTAAAATGACAAACAAAAATCATGTACCCATTGAACACGAACAGTCCCTTTCCAAAAGCACCACTCTAAATAGGTAATCTAATCAAGCAAAGTAGGGATCAGACCTCACCCAATCACTGGAGTGCGTCAATTTGCTGTAATAATAAACAAACACTTATTTAAAGAACGGCAATTCCATTTTCTGTCCACCACTTTGTACATCCACACATTACCCAAACTTAATATGAAAACTCTGATTGCTGTTTGTCTGTTCGCCTTCTTTGGCAGCGTTTACCTGAGTTCCGACTTTGAACTAATTTGCCCCCCAAACACCTGCATGCATGTGAAATGCGGCATTCCACCGGAGTGCCGGAATATCACCGTTCACCTGCCCGATATCAATGGTCCGAAGGTTCATGCTCATTCGGAGGACCAGCGATACCGAATCATTCCCCGAGGTGGCTACTGTGGCTGCTGCGACCTCTGTCAGAAGCTGCTCCGAGAGAATGAACAGTGCCCCCTGATCGCCAGTACGGGCATGGCCTCCAGTGAGGTCTGCAATGATGGTCTCAAGTGCGATCCCCAAAAGCTGATTTGTGTTAAAGCGTAAACTGTTGTATTTTGATTTGTAATTAAAGAAATCCAAAAAACTATTTTGAGTTTAGGTGTTTGAAAACTCCTAACTTACTTTCTGAATAAAAGTTTTTTTTCATGGAAAATGAAGTTTTATTCCATCAATGTTCCCTCTTCTCGTTTGTAGGCGAGTGTAGCAGATGGCGCCTAAATAGCTTAAAAAATTTTTTTTGCATTTTTTTGGGAGCGATTGTTATTCTCTTTCTGAGTTTCTCCTGCAGCGGATTCTGCTGCTGACATCAGTGGCATTTTTGGTTGTGAAAGGCCGTCTGCGTTCCTATAGCGTAGATAGCGAAGACTGGGGCGATCCAATTGGAGCAAACGGAGCACGTCTGCCTCGATTACCGTCACTCGCTTCTGGCAGCGGCGGCGGTGGTGGCGGTGGTGGCGGCGTCGTCTTTTCTCGCCTTCTTCTTTTTGCATTCTCATTCTCACTTGCACTTGCCTTCACATCGCTCATCATCATCATCATCATCGTCTGGCACCATAATCCATCGTCACCATCGTCACCATCATCTCCATCCTCACCACCNTTCTCGCCTTCTTCTTTTTG